CCGAGAAAGCAGTTCATCTTGTCTGAAGATAAGCAAACGGAATGCCTCCTAGGTTCCTAGGTGTACCTATCCTTCTCCAGTGATTACAGAAGAAGTGGTAGCTTCATACTGAAACATCTAACCTTTTTTTAGATGCCTGAGTTGTTTTCCAAGGAGGTATGATGCACCTTTGCAAAATTCACATCACTTAGCTGAATAAGCCAAACCTTTGCCAGCTGCTTTACAGACCTCTGTCAAAATCTGTTATTCTGCACTAAAACAGTGCTTGTTGTTTAGAATAATAGACATAAATGGAGGAAGCGTGCATCTGGCTTGCTATGAAAATTGCCTGGTGTGTGTGTTTCACCACAATATTTTCCCCCTAAGCTCTCTAATGTGAAGCTCAAGATTATTAAACTTGCAGATTGAGCCAAGGAAATAATAATGAAATCGAAAATTTCTGCAGAAATGGTGCAAATTTGAATTTAGAGGGGGTTTTTATTTTACTTTATTACATTCATGTTCTGTTTACCCTTCTTCCTGGCAAAATTTGAAGGTCTTTTAGTTTCTTAAGGTTTTGCTGCTTCTCATGTGGACGGTCATTCTTGAAAGAAAGAAACAAAGCTTTTGTCTCGATTGCAGGTTTGCATTTCTTAAATACTTGAAGTACAGTGCAGAAACAAAACTCTAGACTCCTTAAGTATTGCTTTCTTCTTGGTTCTTTCATAACCTTTTTGATTTTTGAAGAATAATGATCATCTTATCCATACAAAACCACCTTGCAGTGACTGTGGCTGTAGAGAAAGTTACTTGGTGTGTGGGTTTATTTTTTGTTGTTTGGCAAAACTGTGGAAAGCAGTGCACAACTAATTAAATTATTGCCCTTTTTCCTTGCTGCTCAAGGTCCATCTGTCATCTTGTGTTTTATTTGGAATTAATCCTTTGCATAAACACAGGTTTTAGTATTTTGCACATGGAATGACAAACAAATAACTTCCCTTCTAAGATTAATTTAAACAGTTTCTATGAAGTGAGTATACAGTTAAACTAAACCTACTGACATTAATAATTTGGGATGTAACTTGCAGCTGGAATGCTTGCTTGCTAACATATGCATTTGTTTGTTTGCAATGAACAGCCCGAATCACCTAAACCCGTGAAACATCAGGCAAGTGTTTTTCTTTATGCTTTTAAAGTTATGTAGGCAAACTGATATATATTCTATTTTCTGTCAATTTGTATTTATAACATGTGGGAAATCTTGTAGAGGCATACAGCTAATAGTTAACTTTTGTAAATCTTTAACTGGCTTTGTGAGAGTGGACTAGTGAACAGCTTACAAGTTACTCAGCATTGCAAAGCACTTCTCACCACTTTAAAGTGGTGTTACTCTGTCCTGAAGCAAAAGGTTCACCCTCTCTCTAGCTGACCTCCTCCGATATGCTGTGTGTATAGTTGGTTAATGTGCTGCTGAGAGAGTGCAGAAAACTTTTTTTTAGTATTAAACAAAGTACTAAATAAGAGATAGATTAATGGAAGCTACAAAATTCTTTTGATTAACATACTGTTTTGTCTGAATATTTTTATAGCTTCTCAGATAACTTGATAAAGACACTGATCTCAAGCGTAAAAGGCTTGGCATAACCAATCGTCTTACAAAATCAAGTGTTTCCCCTGATTTTCTAGGATAAGTGGTGTGAGCGACATGGTATCTGTTCAGTGTTGCTGCCTGAATTAATGTTTGAGCTTCAGCTGCTCTTATTCCTCAGGTTGGCTGGAGCCACCATGCAAATAACTCTGCCTGTTTCCTGCTCCCCTAATCCCTCTCTTCCCGTGGGCAGCAGTAGTCAGTACTAGACCACCTTCTTGTACGACAGTAGGAATTGCAGTACTCCCAGCGCTATGGAGTGTACTTGTGAAGATGCATAAAGAGGAGGGTTAGTTGGAAGTTGAGGGTAAGACTGTGGAAAGAGATAAACAATTGCTGCCACATGTTGTGCAAGATAAATGCTTCATTTTCTAACCTGAGATGGTAAGTGATACCTTTTTGACATGGGCATGAGCTTTTAAATAAAGAAGCAGCTTTGCAACAGCTCTGTATGGTGTAATCAAGGCTTGGTAACTGAAGAAGCTACCACGAGTTAGTTTAGCTGATTGTATTCTTCCCCCTACATTTTTCTGAAAGCTGACTGTAGTGCAACTTAAACTGTACTGGAAAGGAAAATAATAAAAAAGAAACTTCAAGTTAGGTCTGGTATATTGGAAGCAAAAAGAAATCACATGGACAGCTGTGATGCCTTTGCTAGTGTGTGGTAACTTGTTAAACCTCTGTAACCCAATCATGTGTCTGAGCCCATAGTCTCATTTTCAGAAGTTACAGACATTCTTAGTATTTAACCTAATCCTCCCTCCTTGCAAACCTCAGTCAATTCTAAGGGTTTTTACTAAAATATTTCTCTGTTCCAAAAATAGACAGAGCAGTATTTAGTTTAACCCTCCTTTTGCTTAGTTAGCATGTCAGGGTTGAAATAAACCGTTTGTTGGCAAACATTTTAAATGTATCACTGGAACATGCTAATCCAGAAGTGTTGATATTGCATAAACCATAATCATTAACATTTCTGTTTCAATGTCATTTTGAACTACAGAGTGGATCCCTGTTGTATGTGAGTAGCACGTAGTTTTCCCTGCCTCACCCAGGCTTCACAACGAACTGAATCACTGGGATGCTGTTTTTTCTGAAACTGAGACAATAACTTGTCCTTATCTTAACGTTGCCCTGCATGAAATATTGCATGACTTCACTTTTTCCACAATACCGTGATACTGCTTTTTCCAAGTTCTGTTTAGATGCCTATGCAGGAGATATGCCTATAGGCCAAATTTATACTCTTTCCAAAACACTGAACACTTCTAAAAAGGAGAATTGGTTTTTGGCTATAAAGCAGTCCATCTAAAAATGAAAACTACTAAATCAGAAGCCGTTTAACATAGTGTGAGAGGCTTGCTGTTTCTTAGTGATGGCTACGACAGGTCTACTTGCGAGTGCAAACCACAGAGGCTGGCCAGGCTGTGATTGCTCTGTTCTCACGATTTTCACCCACGTCTGAGGACCCAACTGAATGTTTTCTTCAAATCCTCAGAGATGATCGTAAAAATGAGCTACTAAACTTTTTGCGTTCAGTTGGAGAATTTGAGTAAAATTATTTTACAATGCATTGCGGAAGTTCCTCTGCACAAAACCAAATTAAGCTTGTGGTACACGGAAGCACTTTAAAGCATGGACGAAGCGTGCCTGCAGTGAGATGCTTTCAAGTGGCACAGCGATGTTCTGTGGAGGAGTCAAATTTTGAAGTCAGTGTGCTTTCTTTTCCAGAATAGCTAGAATTTGAAATGTAAGCTGTGACATGCTTGCTGCGTTTAAGATACGTAATGTGGTTTATTTCAAGCTGTGTACAGCATGGTAAGCAAGCTTCTCATTTTTATGCTTGGTGTCTTAGCAGGAGCTGACAGCATGGTTGAGAGAGGGGAACGGGAGGAATGGTGTGAGCAAATGCTTTCCCACTATCTGATACGTTTACATAGGAAACTTTTACAATATAAATCGCAGACGTGCATATAGTGGTTATAACAGGGATCTAGTTTTTATCCAGTTGTGGATTTTTTTCGTCAATTTAAAAGTGCTCTTGAGAACTGTAATGTTGGCAGACCTAACATATAGTGCATAGGCACTGTGGCCTGAGTAGTGTGCTCGGGGCTGACTCACACATTTATTTCTTCTTTAGTTACTTCAGAATTCAGAGAATATGTAGTCCCGAAGAGAATATATTTGGAAGCAGACAAGTTTTGGGCAGATAACTTGAGGTCATATTAAAGAAAGAGCAGCCATTAGTTTCTAGGAGGACTTGAAATATATTTCAATATACAAATAAAAGCCTCTTTTAGGTGTTAACTAGTGAATTTTAAAAATTTCTGTGTAAGAATTGACCTCACATGGAAGCCTTAAGAGACTTACGTTTCCCATTCTTTGATGCTCAGTCTGGGGCCTTTATTCATCTATGCTATAAATAATTGGAAAAAGCAGGTTTATGAACACAAACGTCAGTTTTTGAGACTACATTCCAGACAGCTTCACTTTTTTTTTTTTTTTTTAAAACCATCCTTCAGAGCAGGAAGACAATATAGTATTTTCCTATGTACATACATGCCTCCTGGGCTCATGGAAGCAGCACAGACTTTTTTTGTTACCAGACCTCCTCATGGACAGCAATTGTAAAAGCTGTTGTGCAATTTCCTTAAGATAAGTACTTTGATTTCTACATCCATTGGCTTGAACTTAAAGAAACGTTTAAAAAAAATGCATTAAACAGACTGAGCAATGTTGGCTGAATTGAGCAATTTGAAAATGATCTTTGTATTTGGTGTTGCTCAGTTCCCATTATGCCGTTCTGGCATGCTCCTCAGGTGCATTCAGGTCAGAGATGTTGCAATGATAGGAACATCTGGCTGACTGACAGTAAGTATTTCACTGATTTGAAAGTAAGTTTGAAAATAGGTATTCCAAAGTAGCTATATTGTCAGATCACTAAACAGGAAGTTTAAGAATAACCATACACTAAAATCTTAAAACAGTTACGTTAGCTTTTCCTCTTAAGCACTCTAAGTCTGTGTCTAATTTCATTAGCCCTAAATGTGAATTTTCTTTTCCATGTTCAATGATTTTCAACATCCATTAAGTGCTATTCAATCACTGCTCTGTTTGTGTGTATGTGTGTTTTTAAAAAAAAAAAAAACAACAACAAAACAAAACCAAAAAAAACCCAAAACACGTTCTTCACTGGATGGAGGAGACTATCAGCAGATTTAGAAGTGAGGGGAAAAAAGATAACCCCCTTCTGAAGGTGATATCACTGCCGCAACCTGGGTAAAACGACTGTCAGGAAGAAGCAGAATATAGGAACCCTTAATGGCCTGTGCACTGTGCTTATGTCTGTTTATTCTTCTGTTTGTGTGGTTTTTAGGGGGAGCTGGAGCGTCAGCTTCTTCAGGCAAATCCCATTCTGGAATCCTTCGGGAATGCAAAGACAGTGAAAAATGACAACTCCTCCCGCTTTGTGAGTTACTCCTTTTCTCTTTAGAGTCTGTAAATCTGGATTACTGTTTATGGAGAAATTCCCTTTTTAGGAATTTATCTAATTAGTATCAGAAGCTTTCTTTGTTCTTTCCTCTACAAATTCAGGTTCTCTTACAATGCTTTCTGCATTGTGTTGGGGTCACTGAAGATGCATCTTCGCTGGCTCTTGGCAAAACTTGCTTTAATTATATCTAGTTTCTAACTTCAACCATCCTTGAATTGACAGTAGTGTTCATAGTATAACAAATATAACTATGCCATGGAGCTAAACTGTGGCTTGCGTGAACAAATTACTGAACTACTACAATAACTGCCACAACAACCCC